ACGTACATTTTGTTCCTACGTACATTTTGTTCCTACGTACATTTTGTTCCTACGTACATTTTGTTCCTACGTACATTTTGTTCCTACGTACATTTTGTTCCTACGAACATCGCTTTTTACGAACATCGCGTTTTTACGAACATCGCGTTTTTACGAACATCGCGTTTTTACGAACATCGCGTTTTTACGAACATCGCGTTTTTACGAACATCGCGTTTTTACGAACATCGCGTTTTTACGAACATCGCGTTTTTACGAACATCGCGTTTTTACGAACATCGCGTTTTTACGAACATCGCGTTTTTACGAACATCGCGTTTTTACGAACATCGCGTTTTTACGAACATCGCGTTTTTACGAACATCGCGTTTTTACGAACATCGCGTTTTTACGAACATCGCGTTTTTACGAACATCGCGTTTTTACGAACATCGCGTTTTTACGAACATCGCGTTTTTACGAACATCGCGTTTTTACGAACATCGCGTTTTTACGAACATCGCGTTTTTACGAACATCGCGTTTTTACGAACATCGCGTTTTTACGAACATCGCGTTTTTACGAACATCGCGTTTCTACGAACATCGCGTTTCTACGAACATCGCGTTTCTACGAACATCGTGTTTCTACGAACATCGTGTTTCTACGAACATCGTGTTTCTACGAACATCGTGTTTCTACGAACATCGCGTTTCTACGAACATCGCGTTTCTACGAACATCGCGTTCCTCTAGTTCGATATAGTTGTGAGTATCCTTGCGATCATCCATGGAGTAACTGGAACCGTTCGTCCTCATTGTGTATCGTGTGTATGTTGATGTGAATCGCCATCTGAAGTGCAAAATAGTGATCGGTTGTACCCAATAGCGGGCTTTTTGAATTCTTCACGCAACCTCAACATTCAAAATACACCATCATTTAGCTTAGCAGATACGAGTCCACGCAAGGTTGAGACAGCAAATCACCCAAAATATCAGCGAAGCCAAAATTGTGTCACCATGTGACCGTCTGCAACTCCAACAGTCATTCTATGGCGCAAATGTTCGAGCCGATCTGGGTGGTTGGGAAAGTCCTGTAGTGGAAGAGCAAATTCGTTTCGTTTGCTATCTTATAGCTCACGGAATGGTACCTAATGTTGTTCTTTTTCTCGTGGAATTTTCCTGTAAAGAAATTTAGTAGAGGCGGGCGAACTGTGGGCCTGTATAGTAATGTCGATGAAGGAAGTATTCGAAATCATCGATATGTGAGTCGGGCATTTTTTGTTTGTCGAGCATAGATGTTTATAGATGAAATAACGATGGGTATTACACGTGGATTATTTTGGAAGTGTTTGTTGATCATTTGACTTCATAGATGTTTATAGATGAATTAACGATGGATACACCACGTGGATTGTTTTAGAAATGCTTGTTGAGTGGGGTCTGGAAGATGAAGTTTATCCAGAGAGTGAAATCTGGACCAGAAATGATAGAAACCTAGGTTTCCATTCTTATCTTCCGAGTTCACATAAACTTCTGCACTGAGAAACTATCAACCAAACAACACGACTTTTCTTCCGCGCCTCCACACTAAAACATAACACAAAAACACCAACACATACACAACTCGACCGCTGGTCTTCGCACGTTTAGGCGTAATGAGAAGCGGTCGCGATATCAAAGAACGCCGTCGATCCTGGATAGATCCGGAGCCACTCGAAACACGCAGCTCACTCGTTTTACTACGAGTGGATCTGTGAATACAACTAAATCTACTGCACAGCTCTACATGGTCGCTAGCAAAAAACAACAACACAGCACAAACAAAGATATTATGTTTTCGTAGCCCGTTACCGATTTCACCATTTTTCATATAACGCCGATTGAGACAGTCTATTTTTGATCCGAGGCAACCTTTGACACCCGTTGAAGATATCATTTATCCAACGCACCAGAAAACTCAGGCATGAAGACAAAACGGAACCTGCTACCCAGACGCTCGCGCACAACATGTAGCGGCCCGCGGCAGTAGCTTCAGCTCGCGCAATGTGGGGACATCCATCTCGAACCCATTCAAAGCGTTCCGAATCTGAATCCCGAAGCCAAAATATCGGGATTTTTTGGCCTAAGTAGCGACACTAAGCAAAGAGTGTTGCCTTTACCTATTAGATATAGTTATATTGAAACATTTCGATATGCCAAAATTTCCATATGTAAGATAATGAGTCCACCTACATTTTGTTCATTCATTGAGACGTTGGTATACGCGACGCGGTAACGCGTTCCTTTTTCGCCACGAATGACTGCGTTATTAACAAAATCAACCAGGTTGCGCAAAACTTCAACGACTGGCTAGTCGCCTGAAGGAGAAAAGAGTGCGAGTGTCGTCTACCTAGGGCATCTAGATCTTTTTAATAATATTGTTTCGTATTGATCATATTGTCTTGTTCAAAATCAAGCTAAAACGAAATTTCTTGCCTGACAACATTTCTTGTCTCACAGCAGCCGGTGTCCGAGTTAGGGATCATATGTGGAGAACGATTCACTTCTGACTTGTCGAGAAGTGACAAATCCAAGTTACGAAGAAGTCCTTCAATTCTGGCTTTACGTTTGAGTTAATATTAATACCTGTGGGTAGAGATCGCATGATTTGCTCTACCTAGGCAGGATAATACTACTAGAATTTTAAATACCATCAGTATGCGACGATTGGCTTTCTTACTTCGATAATACATTAGTCTGAAGTAATGACTTTCTACTTAGCGAATCGAAGAGCATCACACAAGCACACATGACTCACAGATCTCATCGTTGATGTGCTGCCACCATCCGCTGGCTGCTAATACATTCTGGAGTCTCTTCAAGAATTTCTTGAAGTGATGCTATCAGCATTTTACGACCGCTTTCTATGAGCGACGAAGGAAGAATAACAGTGGATGATGATGTACGCCAAAAATTCGACTTTGAAGAGAATGATGTGTTGATTTGCTTTTTAAGCAAGTAGTTAACGCTTACTAGCTTCTTTAAGTAACCGCCTAGGAACAGATCGCAAAACTCGGGAGGGTTGTGTTCTATCTATTGATTCTGCTACTTTTTAACGTCTTTTTAGATGCACGTTATCAAATCATTGAAATATCACAGTTTGTATACCATCCGCTTGCCACTGGCGAATAATGTCTTTCGTCTCATCAGCAGAATTGAGTACAAATACCTAATATAATACGAGGATGAATAACGCTCGCCGTTGGTCATTACCACTTTCCTGGTTTTCAGCTAACTGCGCCAAATCGACCCCCTGATGAGCAAACACTGATTGTAGCAAGAGCCATCGATGTTTCCATTTATCAAGCCGTGACCACGGATACCTCACTGCCCACAGCCGCTGAGCTGTAACCATGGATACCCTACTGTTCACGGCCGCTAATAATGCGAATTTTTTCCGTTTCATAGGTGACTTCATCAAGTTGACTCCCATTATTTGAGGCTGTCGAGCTCTGTGAATGGACAAGCGATCGGCAAACCGCAAACAATCCAATAACCACATCTGCCACACAAAACACGGAAATTTGAGAAAGCGTTATGGAAACTGGAGAAGGCGTCAGGATGAACCATTGTCTTCACATCCAAGTGCGCAGATCTCCAACAGGGTCAGATGTTTTCTCGAATCGACTATCGGCGTGCTGTAACCTTTCATGTGGTGCCAACCTACAACGAACTAACTGAACTGTTGGTCTACCTAAAGTATCATGGTGCCGTTTTTCAACTTATGAACTAAAATATCTTCATTACGAGTAGTACTTCCGTACGAGATGGACAAGGCATGTAGTAAATAAAAGTATACATATACAAATCAGATTTGTAAAAAAGCTAGATAAAATCACCCGTAATCGCTCAGTGAATTTTCTGTCTACTCTTAGCGACAAACTCCGCGGTACGGTGAATTTGTGTGCAATAGATTTCCTTCTAGTATCAGTTGTACGAACGGACCCATCGCCTGTAGAATCTGCTTGTTTGTCTGTTCACGCCGCATTATCGGGAGAAACGCCGGCCATACGGTATCGGATGCCTTGCCGCTCCTGGTGGTGTTCAACGCCGCTAGATGTGTTCGTCCGTGAAATGCGCAGTAGACTGCTGGTGAGCTGGTCCAAACGAAAATAGCAGCATGAACAGCAGGCAATAATTCAAGCAAAACTGGCACAAAGCGTCGGCCGCCTATCTGCTGCATCGCTAAAAGATAATTCCGTGCCAAATACCATCTAGTTGACTTTACCGACTGAGAAATTGCGTAGACAACCTGCCTGCTGCTGACCCTTCGCGGACGTTACCGAACAACGACACCTTGCAGCTCCAACCCGACTACCCATATTACCGATGACGAAGTGACTGCAGACAACGCTGTTGTAGCCGACGAAACCACTGCGTCACTATCATAATCGCCGACGAAAGATTCGCGAAGGTTCGCAGCATCACAAGGTCCAATGAATAGCAGATGAGTCATCGAAATCGACACAATGTGGAATTGGCTGGCAGCCTCCAGGAACGGGTCCGCTCAATAGCAGGAGCCGCACGAATTGCGCATCGGGCACTAATTACGTAAAGCACTGTGCTAACACTGATAAAAAAAAAAAAAAAAAACGAAAGGCGTAGCTCAAAAACACTAGAAATGCTAAACGCAGCTTGTAGATTGAAGCATGTAGAGCTGAACGGGTGAACAGCAATGGTTGCAGATTTTCAGGATAGTTAAAACCGTGGTAGTTGTAGTGATATAATGCAGGTAGACCCGCGTCGGCCCGTGAACAACCTGATGACGTTTTGCTTCATTGGTAGAACTACACTGCGCAACTATTACATTTATCAGCATCGGCCTCTCCGACGAGCCCAATTAGATCGGATTCGTTGGATCTTCTATAGGAAACGTCGTGCGATAGACTGCTGAGACGCTAGCTGGTAGGCGGCACGAACACGCACGATCCGAGGTCAATCGCTGAACCACCCACCCGCTTCCTCGCTATGTGATAGCGGCTAAGGCGACAAAAATCAGCATATAGGCAGACATAGATCGATACACACCGACACAAAAAGAAACCAGAAAGAACGCAGGCCTGTGGGAGCGACAGCGATGTTGGCCGAAGCCACACGCGGTTATGGTGAGCACTATAAAGACGGCCAATTTTTGAAGCACGTTCTTCAGAACAGCTCGAAATCAATCACTAATTCGAAAAATTATAGTGTACAAATTGTAGCTAGAGAGTTCAGTGGCATAGAATACGTTGATTACTAATAAACACAACTGCTATCTGAATTATATATACATAAAAACCATATTGATGATACTATTCGTCTGAACGAACACGTCCGACCATCTTTGGGCGAAGGTTAGCTCGGACTTACCAAAACCAATGATGTCACACAATCGTATTTGCTTAGGCTGGAATAAGTGGAAGAATCTAGGTTGTCTGGGAGTACACCCTGTCTCACGGTCTGGGTACCTATAGCTCGCTTGCTGGTTCGTCCATATCAGCTTACCAAAACGTCCCAGCCTTCTTAAGATCGTTCCGTTCGGTGACGATATGGATGACGTCACTTCTTGGTTGACTCGGTAAGCCTATACGGCTGTTGCTATGCTGTGAAACACCATGACTAAACTTCGATGGAGCGAACAATGATGGCAGATATCTTACTAAGCCTAACGAGGTCTGTAATATTCACGAACATCGCTAAACCTTTTACGTACTGCTTAATGAAGATATGTATAGATGATCAAATATGTTCAGGATGCACACAAGGTTGATTCCACAAACGAGAAACCATTGGTGATATTCCCGTCAGCCATACGAATGGCCGGGAGGGAAATTAAATGAACAAAGAAAGATACGAGTACGCAGCACTGTATATATTCCCTATCTATATCGGTACACTGGCAAACAAACTGGAGGCATTCACATATCACGCAAATATTGCCAATAATATATATCATCTATACGTGTACATATAATATTACAATAGGCGATACTGCCCACTACAACATTAGACGTAATCGAGTAAATAAGTGCGACTAGTTACGTTGTGCTTTAATTACGTTTTGCTCACAGCTTAACGACTTTTGGACGAATTCGCAGATCCATCAAACCGTTTAATATTTCTATGAAATAGCGACGTAAAAGACGTAACCGGACAGCGTGTTTCCGCCGACTCGACGCAATACTACATTCCATCCGGTAAAACATATTGGGATTGTTGGTGGATGACCATCTTCATTCCATACTACCTACGAATACCTTGATCATCGATGAATAGCTGGTAAACTAGTAGACACAAAACATGCTCATCTTAACACTATTGGTTGCATGTCGCTTCATCTATCTTACAAGCACCACACATCTTCATCAATTGCCACCGAAGCAATGACTAAACAGGCTAATGCTAAGCCCTATATGAGCGACAGCCGCGCCACCTCCTTTCCACCAACTACGCAGTCGCCCCCATAGTGGTGTGACTATGAAAGAATCCAAGATGGCGCCCTTCCAGCGATTATAGAAACCACTCGAACAGTATCGAACATGGCCGCAGTCCTGTTAGGGCAAGTGCGGCAACATTTGATAGGATAGTTTTTCCGCCCAGACATGATACGGCATACGCTCATGTAATATAGGCTTACCGCTATATGGATAATTTTTCGATGACGCATGCAACGCTTAGAGAGTTACTATTCATCTGAGTAAATGTCATCGCAGCTATATTGTCTGAGCAGTTAGAAAAAATGTCGTTCGTCTGGCAATGGAAGGTGTGACGTCACCTGCCGAGGCTGAACTGAATGGGAATTTTCCTAAAAGCTTTTGCAGTTTCGTCAGCGTAACGAGGTCAGGTATCAGCCTTAAAAAGCTTCTACTCTCGTCGAAAACATAGGTACGAACCATGGTATACTAACGAAAAATAGTTGCGAGAGTTTGTTAATATAGGCGCAATCGGTCAAAAAGCTTTCGATTGCTGCCATATGGTGTAAAAAGAGCGTTCCAAATGCTACTGGAAAAGAAAGCAAATGATTTTTAATTTTATTCAACCAACTGTAGAAAATAAACAGTCATGCCAAATATACGGCCTATTTTACCAATATGCTCTGGGATTCTGAGAAAAGCATATAGTGATTATTTAAAATAAGCACGCAGTTCTATCGCATCGTCAGCGAATTTATGCCATCCAATAACCGAGTTTCACTTGAACAGACACAACTACTATAAGCGGCATATCGCCGCTCGAACTAATAATTAAACAGGACCTATCTAACCTGAAACAAAAACATAGAGGCAAGATATCTTTTACTAGTTGTTTGAAAACTCACCAAGCTGTCGAGCGAAGCGTTGTACACTGGATCTCAGTCAGTACTACAATGGCTGTCTGCTTGATACCTGCTAATACGAACGGCAGTCCATGTCGGCTGCGGCAAGGGCCCACGATATATACGCCTTACCCATTCGGTTGGCTGTGATTCGCGCCGCCCAAACTATAATCAGATCCACAAGGGCACTGTTAACACAATCAGTTTTTACATCCACTATAGCAGCATGTATTAGGACTGAAGATGGTAGAGACTAACCGTAGGCCAGTGCAGAATAACCCGTGTGGCGTTATTCCAGCTAGCCGTGAAAAGAGAATAACTGCGTTGGCCTGCACAACTAAATCTTGAACGTATCCGTCATTTTTTAGAAAACTAGCTGCCTGAAAGCTTTTATTTTAGTTTTGTTCATTGCGGGACAGTAAATTCTGTTTGCTCTAGATTCAACGCGATGATGGGGAAATTTTTAGTAAATAAATTAGTAAATAAAAAAAATGCCATGATTATAACGATGCAGAAGGAGAAAAACTGCAAGCATTGTGCGCTCCTGAGTTTCTTTCAATCGTAAGGCTCTTAAGTGGGCTTCTGCAAAAAAAAATGGACCAGCCATAGCTCTCATTTAATGCTCTATACCTTAGCCAGAAAGCGGTGGCTGTTTGAGCAGAAACTGAGGCGCCACCTTCAGTAAGGATAGACTACAATTTCTAAGGAGAAATTGTAATCTATCGGCGTGACCGCTCCCCATGCTGTCGCCCCTCACTCCGAAATGAGACAGGTAAACTGAAGTTGTACTGTGTATTTGAGTGTATGTATGTATGTGTGCTTGTGCGTGCGAGTAGTACTGTTTGAACGCGCGGTAGTGCGACTTTCCTCCGTTAGAGAAGTTTCCGTCAGCATTGCCATTACAGCCGCGTACCACAACGGCCACCTGTTGCAGCCCTGACAAGAAGCTAACACAGCTGTTGGCTGCTTTTGCCAGAAGCTTAGTTTTCGCAGAAAATTCCTGGTGACAAAAAGAGAAGGCGGACCTTGTTGCCCAACTAGCATTTCTAGCGATTCTTCTTTAGCTAGAAATAATCTTAGAACGCTAGCGGAAAATTGCAAGACATCTGGAAAATTAGCGGTGCATTGGCAGCGATGCCTACAAGAGGGTTATAACAAATGAAGGGTACATTGATAAAGATGAGTACGGTTTGTCGATAAGAATCTCCGTAGATATCTGTTCGGGCTAAAAACGAAAGCTGTACTTGCGCGTAAGTTAATAGACACTGGAACTAGTGGATAGCTAAAATCCTGTTGCAAATCTGCCGGGACTACTTGTTGGTTTAGAAAAAATACTTTCGACTCTGATATTTGGAATTAATTCACATGGTGTTTGGAAGTAAACGAGACGATAGTGGTGGTGCTGGAACTCTAGTAATTCTGGATGACGGTGGTTTGGTTGAGTATACCGAGAAGGCGGAAGAGGTCGAAGCGTACTTCGAAAAGCCGAGGTGAGCAGTTGAAACTAGAAAAATTTGCTTAGTTATACATTGAAAAGGATAAGAAGTGTTATATTAGATACTATGTTAGACGCAAAGGAATAAAAGCTTGCTAGAGGGTAACCATTGTATGTGTTACTTTATATGTAGATAGGAAAAAATCCCCTTCTTTTATTTCGCATCGGCGGTATGTCGAACTGTTGTGTAAAATCTATGGCTTTTGATTGTTTCCCAATTGTCGAACTGGAGTCCTAATCAGTTTAAGACTAGTATTCTCGTATGCAGAGATTCGCTTGCTGGAATTGCTTTAAAACACCGTCAAGGGGTGTCTGTACAACATCGCATCTGTCCCACAGACCGTCTTTAACAGTTTATGCCAGTGAGTGCTGACAATTGCGATGAGCCTTCTTCCTGAAATCGGCACTTTTTTCCCAAAAGGCAGCGAATCATATTCTAGCGTAAATTATGCAACCCATCTTTTTATTATATAGTATACACAGAACGTAGACTTCGAATTAACGCTACTACGTATAATCCAGACAATGATATCGCACAATTTATAGATTCACGTATGTTGATGCACTTCATGGATCAAGTTAGAAGTAAGTGAATGCAAAAAATTTTTGGATTAATTGGTCAATCTACACTTAACTTAATCGTATATAGTTTTCTTAGGATACGAATAATGAAATGTCCTACTACTGCAACTGTAAGAAGAAAATACAGAAGACGAAGTTACAATGTTGTTACGTCGTATATGATATAATGAAATACGTCGTATAATTATTCACAATTAAAGCTTTCGTACTTACTAAAACTTACGTGTTAGCTGATCCTAATTAAATGATGCCTATATTCTCTGATTGCTGATTTATCTGCGTTGCTGTCCTTATTACGTTATTTTTACTCTGGCAAATGTCGTACACACCGTGGATTACTATCACATATTCTACACAAGTTAACTGACCCAAATTTTCCCTGATCTAACATAAGGACAAATGAGTAAGAATCTTCGGAAGATTAGCTAGTAGCTAGAACGCGTAGGGCAAAACCTATCCACGTAAGCACCACATAAACATACATAGAATACGATATTGGCTTGTCCGAGGTCCGATACGGTCTGTATTTTTTTTTAACCTATTCTAACGGAACTTACCGTCGTAAACGGATAGTCAAAGACTATTACAAAGCGCCATTACCCTCGATGAGTGCTGTTGCTAAGCGTTCATAAATCCATTAATTATTTTTTTAACTGTCTCGGATAATTAGAAAAACAAAATAACAATAATATTAATTATTAATAATAATAATTAATAAATAATAATAAAAAAACAGCATATATATATAACACTCAGTGTAGCTGTAAGGTTCCACACATTTGTACTATTTCTTTGAGCTTTTTTCAATAATTCCAAGTACGTCAATCGCCTTAGTTATGTTTATTATGTTAATTATGGTCGATTCCTCAGCTAACCTAACAAGGAAATGTAAGAGAAAAAATTATACCATATTTTTTCTATAAATAAATACACAAGATTCAATTTATCCACACATCCGTCATATTTTCATCATCGTTTCTCAAGCTAGAAAAGCACCATTTCAGCACTCAAGTAAATGCCACTGAGCAACGCCGTCGACTTGCAAAATGGATACGGGTTTTTGACAATGCAAATATTCATCTAGCTATAGTAAGTACTTACATCATCCCACATTTTATATGTCATCTTTTGAATATACACTCTGCTGAATTGTGAGTTGCGGTCAAATTTAAATTATTACAAGGTTACAGACAACTTGAACCCCTTTTGGTGCTGTACCACCCATGTTACTCGAGAAGCACTTGCTTTGTGCATTTCAGAGAATCTTGTTCCTCAAAAAGCATATTTCACTCTAAGTGGCTGCTAATACTACCCACCCGTGCGGTATGAAGTTCTCTCTGGGGTGTTGTAGATGCAGGGGCTGATAATAGCGCGACGACCGTGGCCACAAGAGCACGTAAGAGCCGATTAATCTAGCGCCATCTGCGGTTATATTAAGTGGTGTCAATCTGTTCAAACGGTGACAACTGTAAAGCGGCAGGGTAAGCACAACAGCAGGGTCATCCATGTTATCGCCATCACCACAAAGAGGGTCAATCAATGAGCTAGTCGGGATTTAGCTATGCGGAGTATAGACGGATTTTGAAACAGCCCACGCAGAGCTTCTTACTGCTCAAATAGTAGGCCCATTCAATGTAAGACGAAGGGGACGGAGACTGATTTATTTGTTTCAAAACCGTATTTGAACGTGCGAGGGTGAAAATGTAAATGAACATTACTCTAGATAATGGGCAGTTAGCTACTTTACTCATATGCGTCGGAAGTTAAGTGATGAAACCGTTGAACGCTACGACGATAAAAATGCCTGTCTTTTCTGCTCTATTTAAAATCGACTTTAGGGGTTAACGATCAACGTAATTAGAGATAATCGACACCCTTACAGAGGAAGGTCGATTTATAATATTTTATACATAACATTTTTAACGCAAAACGATCAATGTGTGCAGCAATCTTAGAACCGCATGTCATAATCGAATAAATATAAATAGACTTTGATAACTTCTATTAATCCATTTGATCCATTTGTTTTAAAGTGCCTAGAAATATATTGATCGCAGAACTGCTAGATATCCTTACCTGGTAAAATTGTACTTCAGGAGATCTCACTGCTCAGCGAAATGTTGGGCGAACCCACAAGGGGCAAACGGAAAAGGTTAGGCCAAAAGTGTTCCATTCTGGAAGTGATTCAGGTGCTAGAGAACCTAGAATTAAAGAAGGCAACGATGCCGAATAGGATTCAGAATGAACAACCTGAGCCCGCCGTGGGGCTGGCGCCGTCCTCAACGGCTTTTTTCAACGAATATCTTAATTCCGGACCGCTTCCTTCTTATTCCCGAGACGCAACGCTTCTCGTTATCTCAAAAAAAACAAAGGCGATCCAACCAACTAACGTCGTGGCGCAAAAATTTTGAAGGCAAACGTCTGCTGTAGACTTCTCCCGTATTATCTGGTGAGGAGACTAAAGGGGTCTTTAAAATGTCAGTGCTATAATTTCGACAACATACCTACGCAGTGATTGTATACTTCAAAGCTGCCTTCGACTCCATCCCAAAATTTAGCCTGATGCAGAAAGGCCTTGATATATTCGTGCTCAATACTTAGGCCTTACCCATTGTCCCTATTAACCGCTTTGTGATTTTTGACCTCGAAGTTGCGTTAATTTTCACTTACGGAGTGAGTTCAATTTGAGATGACCTCGCAGTAGAGAATTTCGGGTAGAACAAAGGTTTCGGTTCCCAAAAAAGCGTTGAGACTGCAAGCAACCTGTAGTAGCCTTGTCTACTTTTTGGCGGCGACGCCACCATTCGCTAAGAACTTTCGTCGCCGTTTCAGCTTATAGTCAATCTTAGGACATCAGAAAAGCTTAGTAAAATAGGATTGAAAGTTCATGCGCATTGATCCCGAACTACATCAAACGAAAACCATGATGGACAAGACCTGCAAACCATTTGATCTGTCTAGCAGACATGTAATGGCGCGTTATGAACTGCACAATTTTCACTTTCGCCTATGCAGAATGCAGGAATTCCACAAACTTAATGAGTATTGTACCGTGTGATCTATATTATGCTTCCTGCTCACTTACCACAAGTTCAATCGCTGGGCAATAAGTTTAGTAATCAATTGAAAAATGGCAGTATTATGGTATATTATGACGTAATCATGAATAGGGTCTACGTAAATAACTCCGTGAACCTTAAGCCGAAAATACCAGGAACTGCCCTATGACATTAGCTTTAGCCAGAGTTGTGAAACCGCCACATGTACGATATAAGATGACATATAAAGTTCAACATGCTAAATATACCAAATTGGTATAAATGTATATGTATATATTTCAAGTGTTTGGAATGCCACCTGATCTATTACTTATTTCGATCTTAATATTGTCTTCTTTAATCAATGGGTATTTCGAGTAATCGACATAGGTGCAACTTAAGAAATGCGGCTAATTTTATTAAGAAGCTTTTCAAAGGCAATACTCTACACCGTATTATGGTATTTGATATTTCATGGGTTAACATTGATGCCGTACGGTAGTCGAAGCAACGGAATAGCTCAGCAGATGTAAGCGGCTAGCCCTAGGTTGCTGAATTTCTCACTACGACACGACTCTACGATATTTAATGATTTAGTTGAAGATCTACGTATAACTTACATTTGAATATATAATCCATAAAAGACACATAACCGCACAAAAACAACTTTGATCTCTCGTCTGATCGTGTGTAGTCACTACTGACAATAGCTAACGGTGCTATGAAATCATGTATATATATTTAGAAACACATAAACATAAGTAAACATTTAAAAAATTGATGAACATTTTTCGGTTGCTTATAGTAATTTTAGTGGCATTAAGGATTAGGAATACCTAAATAATAGGTATCGAGGCTGACGTTTTCCAGAAAAATTTACGTAGCTTTTTGTTTGAACCAGTGTGCTTCTGTTTGCCTTTTCCATGCGTAGAATTTAAAACGCTGCTGTCAAGGGCTTAAAAGGCGTCGCGTATGCTGCCAACAGAAATTGTTCCTAACTGAAAAATCATCGAAAAGCAGTTTTCATGGAAAGAAAAACGACGCCTGAAAGTCACTCACTGTTTACAGGGGTGTCAGTCATTTTAAAAATGATTCGAGTGATCTGACTCTCAAACACTACTCTTAGCTAACTGGTCTTAGTAACTAAGGACGTAGTTTGTCGAAGACAAACATTCATGCTAGTTCTTCAGTCAATTAATTATTAGAATTATTGAGCTTATTGTGTTTCAGAAGGACCCCGGCTATTTGTTCGCGTATCATTTATTGGGGTGGCACGGAGATTAGTCGGCATGTAGTCGTTGCTTTGACATTGAACAATATAGGGCTCAGGAACAAAATCAAATGTAGCTGTACATGATGATGCCTCATAAGCTAG